AAAAAAAAAAAAAAAAAAAAAAAAAAAAACACTCCTCATGGCAGCAAAACAGCTTTAGATATCTGTGCTACATCCCACCCCTATGCTGCTTTTAAGGTAATTTCCTGGCTCTTTGCCTGCTATGTATGTGTGATGGATCTCTTTGCCTTGGCAAGTTCTTAGATGCTTTCCAGGATGTTTGGATTCTCAGAGACACCTCTTCCTCAGTTCAGCACCATGGCCTTGGCTTCAAAGTTCAGGCAGCAGACATACTTGCTTAAGTAACCTGGTGGGAGACCCATCACACTACAGTATGAGGTATGAAGTATGGAGTACATGGCAACCGAACATTGGGAAGAAATCTCTAAATATTTGAGTGGTTATTGCTGGAGAGATGACTGCTATATCTTGAAATCTTTCTTCATCAATTAGCATGATTAACCATCCCAGTTTTTCTAATTCTGTTTTTTCTTTTAGCACTGAAAATCTCGCATCCCAGGAAACCTCTTAGCCCAGGACAAACTAAGATGGTTGGTCCCCTACCAACAATGTTTTGTTTCCTGACAGATACTGGTGCAATGGCTGTCCTGGCTCTGACCTGCGTGAACAGGAGTCTAACAAATGGGCAGGTCAAAGCAGACGGAGGAGATCTGACGAAGATCAGTAACTATACAAAGTCACTGGTAGAAAAGATTCTGTGTAAGAAAAAAAGAAATGGTCTCATTGGAAACACATTTAGTACAGGGGAAGCCATGCAGGTAAGTCAAAGGGTGAAACAAGAGGCAGAGAAGGGAGTCTTCTCTGGAAGAAAGCAGTATTTTTATTTATTTATTTATTTATTTTATTTATTTATTTTTTTGAGATGGAGTTTCGCTCTTGTTGCCCAGGCTGGAGCGCAATGGTGTGATCTCGGCTCACTGCAACCTTGATCTCCTGAGTTCAAGCGATTCTCCTGCCTCAGTGTCTTGAGTAGCTGAGATTACAGGCACCCACCACCATGCCCTGCTAGTTTTTTCTATTTTTAGTAGAGATGGGGTTTCACCATGCCAGCCAGGCTGGTCTCAAACTCCTGACCTCAGGTAATCCACCCACCTCAGCCTTTCAAAGTGGTAGGATTACAGGCATGAACCACTGCATCCGGCCAGTATCTTTATCCTTTCTTATTGGCCTCCTAAGATTCTATTATCTATTCTGCGGTTCCTATACTAACTTTGATTTTGCTCATATGATTCCCCTCCCCGGCCTGACATGTACTCTTCTCATCTTCAGCTTTACTTCTCCATAACCAATGCTTCTAGAAAGCTTTTCCTAACTACAATTTCTCTAAGAAACTCTAGAGTCTATACAATCTACCCTGTTGTTCTATCACATGTAGTTTTACACTTTCACACACACAGTAGTCCCCCCTTATCCACAGTTTCACTTTCCACAGTTTCAGTCTCCCAAGGTCATCCAAGATCTGAATAGTAAATGGAAAATTTCAGAAATAAACAATTCCTAAGTTTTAAATTGTGCATAATTCTGAGTAGTATGATAAAATGTTGCACCTTCCAGCTCTGTTCCACCCAGGAAGTGATTCATCTCTCAGTCTATGCTTGTTAATAACTTAGTAGCCCGTTATCATATCAACTGTCCCAACGTTGAAGGGTGTGTGTTCAAGTAACGCTTATTTACTTAATAATGGCCCCAAAGCACAAGAGTAACAGTGCTGTAGTATATTATTATAATTGTTCTATGTTATTATTATTGTTGTTGTTAATCTCTTATTGTCCCTAATTTATAAACTGAACTTTATTATATGTGTGGATATATAGGAAAAAAACATAGTATATTTAAGGCTTAGTAGTATCCACAGTTTCAGACATCCACTGCAGGTCTTGGAATGTATCTCCCGCTGATAAGAGGGAACTACCACATTATCTCCATTTCCTAAACTAGGAGCATGAGTCACAGTAACTGTCAGTAATTTACCTCAACTCACAAAACCAGGAAATGGTGCAGACTGGGATGGGACCTGGGCAGTTTTTCTCAAAACTGACACTCAGCACGTACCCTGTCACGCCTACACTCATTGAGGTCTGAGACTTCATTTCTGCACTCATTCATCCCTTGATTTACAAACTCTAAGGGGAAGATATAAGAAGCAATCAAGGAAGGTTTACAGAAAAAAAAAAAAAATTACTGCATCCTCAGTATGAACAGGTGTTTTCCAGGCTGACTCAGGGTGAGAGGACTTTCAAGGGAGAGATAATAGCAAGGACAAAGCCCCAAAAGCACAAAAAATTCGGCATTTTTTTATTATTATACTTTAAATTCTGGGTTACATGTGCAGAACATGTAGGTTTGTTACATAGATATACACGTGTCTTGGTGGTTTGCTGCATCCCTCCCCCTGTGAGGCATTTTAAGGTCAAGGCGTTCAGCATGGCCAGCACACAGTCCTTGGGAAACGTAACAGGAGGCTGGAGGTGTAAGCATGGGTTCAGTCACAAGGTTATCTATATCGTTGCTGTTACTCTTTATGTTGCTGGTTGCCTTACTAAGTTTGAACTGAATATAAAACTGGTTTCCCATTTTGGTTGCACATTTGAATCACCTGAAAGAGCTCTTAGAAAACACTAATACCTAGTGTTTTCTAAGACACTAGGTATTAGTGTCTTAGAACTAAAGCCAGGTAGTACAGAAATTTAGAGGTGGAGCCTGTGCCTTGCTCTTGTTTAAAAGCCCTACAAGTGATACAGATTCACAGTATGATCAAGAGCCGCTTGTCTACAAGACATTGCTGGGCATTTTTAAATATTAATAACATTTAATTTATTGTTATGTATGTGAATAACATATATTGAAGTGTCTTGCGATGTACTATGACCAGTTTTTCTTTTTTCTTATCCAAATGCTTGTGGATCACTTGGTTAGCTTAAGAACCTCCAAGAAAAGATGAAAATAGGAACTGTCCATCCCTGGGAAACTACAGAGCAGCATGTTCAAGTCCAACCCACTTTAGTTCCTGTCTTGCTCACCCCAATACCCTCCTAACTTTTACTACCTCACAATTCTGCCCCTTCAATAGAACTTACATTCTGCTGCCCAGAGAGTTTCTGTTCAATGAACTCCCCATTGTCAATCAAATAATGTCAGACACTTCCTCGTTGTTGTCAACAAATGATGTCAGACACCTCACCATAAAATTCAAGCATCTGCTAGTCTAGCCCAACTTCCTTCTCCAGCCTGTTCTTCCACAGTTGCCTCCAATGTTCCCTATACACCAGTTCTCCTAAACCAGGAGGAATCCCCTGAGAAACTTTGCTAAAATGCAGATACTCTCATCACTGTCAGATCATGTCCTGGCCATTCCTACCTAACACCTTTGTTCATGTTATTCCTCTTGTGTACAGAGCTCCCCATCTATCATCTCAGCTGGCATTTAAATTCTATCTCACTTTCCAAGGCCTAACTCAAATACCACCTTCTCCAGGAGGCTTTTTTTAGCCTCATTAAATGTGTGTGAGCTCCTCTCCTCTTCTGAAGGAGACATGCCACTAGATGCAATCTTAGGATATTCCTCTGGCATCTCTTTTTACAATAATTTGTTAATATTCATTGAGTGTCTCCTATATGACCAGTATTTCCCAGTAATAGGATATAGAAATGAACGTGGCAAAGTCTGCTCTCATTGGAACTATTATAGCTTATGTTATTAAACAGTTCTCACCTCCCCGCCCAAACTAGTTTATAAGCTTCTGGATAACAGGAAAGATATCTGAGTTCTCTGAGGTGCTTCCTAGGTAGTCAATGTTCAATTAATACTTAATTAGTTCTTATTTGAAGTGTCTCATATTCTTTCTCTCTGTCTCTCTTTATCTCTTGTCACCCCTCCCGCTTCCGTGCCTCATTAGGCGCTCTTTGTATCATCAGACTATTATAATGAAACTGAGTGGAATTGCCGAGAAACTCTGAACGCAGTGCTCATGGAAATTTCCCGAGGAGCATTCAATATTCCAATTGCTGCAGCCCAGGTCTTACCTGCCCTGTTGGGAAAGACCTACTTGGATGTTAACAAAGACTCTTCTTGTGTTTCTGGTTCAGGTATAAGCATTAAAGAGCACACTGTTTTGCTTTTCACCATAGCACCCAAAGCATGTGAGATTCAGGTGCCCTTAGAAACCAAAAGTGACCAGAGAAACCTCCAAAACATAACAGTTACCAGAGAGAATTCAGTTTTCATCATGTTATCAGGGATTACAGCCACCTGAGGATTTGTTCTTAACTAAGTGCTAGATGTCCTTCTTAGTTCAAACATTAACAAGGCAGACTTGATTAAATAATATCTAACTCCAAAGGCGTATTTTCTGACTGTTGGGTATAGAAGGATCTGAGTATCATTCTCATCCTAAATAAAGCACAGAGGATTGGTATTGTGACTCTGATTTTCCATACTGAGTGATCCTTCAGGGAAATGAGACATCTGTGTAGAAAGGATATGACACTATTCGAAAATTGTAGCATACATTACTTATTCAAACAAATGACTTTGCAACCAGGTAGAAGGAAAGGAGACATTTTCTTATATCTCTGCCCTCTCTTGGTTCAGCCACTTACAGGTTTAGGAAACTTGGACAAAACATTTATCCTCTAAGCTTCAGTTTTCTAATGTAAAAATTGGGAACAAGGACAATATCTAATGTAGGTTTTTGTAAAGATTGAAGGAGATAATCCGTTTAAAATGATTAGTACAGTGCCTGGCACTTCATATGTTTTCAATAAATGTTAAGCAATTAAAAAGGAGAAAAGGTAAGCATTATTGTATGCTGTACCAAGGCAAAAAAATGAAAAAAAGTCAGGATCCTCTGTGAGAAACAGAAGTTAGAGCAACTGAATTGCTTAAACAGCTGGGAGTTGAGCCAAGTGCCAACATTCACAAGCTGGTGAGTTTTGGTCTTAGTTTCTGCTTCAGTTATATGAGAAATTTGCCCCTTGAGTAACGATAATTGCTTTTTGTAGTAAATCCATGTCTGCATAAAGGCAAGGAGTCCTTGGATAGGAGTTAAGTAGGTAGATCTGCAAACTCTAGTATCATTTTTATTTCTGAATATTGCTCTGGGTTTTTCTGTCTCTCTCAGGTAACTTCAACATCTCCATTCCTGAGCCTATAACTGTGACACCTCCTGAGTCACAACCACATATCTCAGTCAATTACTCTGTGAGAATTAACGAAACATATTCAGCCAATGTCACTGTGCCACATGGTTCTGTCTTCCTCGCTGTGATGGAGAAAGCTCAGAAAATAAACCATACTATATTTTGGTAGGTCTGTACCTAACTTGAGGTTAAGGTGTTTACTGTCATTGCTAAAGATGCAGTCAGAACGCATTTGCACCTAAAGAAAAAGTATATTTAAAACACTTCTGGGTCAGTCGCTTTGCTGTCCATCTACATCTCACATGAGGAGTTTAAAATAGGAGGTGAGATATTTCATCTTCTTGTTCCTAATAGGTAGTAAATTAATATTCACTTAATAGATTAATTCGTCTCAAGGTTCTCTCTTATTTTAGTAGAAGTTTTTCAATAAATAAAACTTCTAAAGTCAAACATTTGAGATCTAGAAGTGGTTCTTAACTCTTTTTGAATCGCTGACCCCTTTGAAAATCAGATGAATGCAATGAATGTTCACCCCAGAAAAAAATGAACATACACACAAAAATTGGCATTTGTTTGTTTATTTATTTTAGAGACAGAGTCTTACTATGTTGTCCAGGCTGGTCTTGAACTCCTGGGCTCAAGAGATCTGCCCACCTCAGCCTCCCAAAGTGCTGAGATTACAGGCATGAGCTACTGCCAAATTTGGCATTTAAATTGGGAGTTTCACAGATGCCCTGAAGCTTCTCCTTGCCCTCGCTTTCAGAAAATTCATAGATCCCTAAATTAAAGTTCCTGGCCAAGGAGGTCAAGTATTAAAATTAAAATAATGGCTTTGCCTCTGAAAAGTATGATTTATTTGGCTCCTTAACTCTAGTTCACAGTTATTTATTGTGTCTAACAACATAGCGTGGGATGCTATAAAGAAAATCAGAATAATAATATATATTATAAAGGATACTCTCGAGGGCTTTAAGGAAGGTAGAAAATGACTAAGAAATATAAAACAGATATTGACCATGTCACTTTTTAGTAAACACAATATGAAATATCAAATTATCCTTTCCTGTTCCTCTTTCCTAAGGGAAAACTCACTAACTTATGGTACCTCCAGGACATGAGGTTAACAAGTTCTTCTACTGAATCAGTATCTTCAGCTGTTACTATCTTGGGGTGGAAGGTTGAAGCTGTTGTCTGAAAAGTATCTACCATAGCAGGTGGGGGGTGGGGGGAGAAGAAGAAACCACGAGCACCATTTCCCTAATTTAGCATGGAGTGTGGAGTGCCTGCATTAGAATCATCTGGAGCGTTTATAAAACATGCAGATTCCTGATCCCCACCTCATATCTAAAAATAAAAGCATCTATGGATAAGGCCAGGAAATCTGCATTTTTTATGTCATCAAGTGATTCTCAGGTACATTAAAGTTTGAGAAATGCCCATTGAGGATTTCCTTTGACAATTCTAAGTTCCAGTAACCTATTTGCTGTCACCCACAGCTTCACAATGGAGGAGAGCTCATGGGGGCCCTACATCACCTCTGTTCAGGGTCTATGGGCCAGCAATAATGACAGAACCTACTGGGAACTTCTGAGTGGAGGCAAACCACTGAGCCAAGGTAAGGGAGAGACATGCCAAGAAGACCCAGAGACATGCCCAAAACACTCGTGCCAAAAATGCCCAAAGCATGGAGAGGGCTGTGAGCCTTTGTGGTGATTGGGCCAAGGGGTTAGGAGAGATGACATCCATTATTTGGTGATTTAGTGGTCAAATCATTTGACCCAGTTCCCTTTCTTCTTCCTTTTCAGGAGCTGGAAGTTACGTTGTCCATAATGGAGAAAACCTGGAGGTTCGTTGGAGCACATACTAATGCCCAAACTTTCCTCAGCTGGATGAAATCCACTTGCAGTGGCGTTCCATGCCAACTGGCCTTATGCCTTCTTCTTCATTTATCCCAGTACCAGTAGGAGAGTTAATAACCTCCCCTTCTCTCTCTACATGTTCAATAAAAGATTAAACACTATACAAAAAGAGCATGTTCTAATTAGTTCATTCTTAGAGGATTTTAAAATGTATTAGAGGAAAGCCCACATGTCTAATAAGCAGGGCTCTACTCAAGGCTCTCCTACTAACTATCTAAGTGGCATTGGGCAACTGGGTAAAACGGGGATAAGGTTCTAGCTCTAACATTGCAGCAGCAACCAGTGAGATCAAGTGGAAACTCTGTAGGAGACTGAGCTCTCTGAGGCCCAGATGCAAGAGAGGAACCCAGTGGTGACACTGACTTCATATTCGCAGTGGGTAGAAAAAAACATGTTGCTCAGAAGAAGGGGAAAGTGAGCCATATACATAAAAGGTCTGACCATAGTTTGAGAAACAGTGTCATCCCCTGCCTCCAGCTGTCTCCCCTTGGGTCCTACTTGTTCTTTTAGGTTTATTTTCCCTTTATTTCTCCATAAAATCACCCCAATATTCATATCATCAAAATGCACATGCAAAAAAAATCACTTCCACTCTTCATTTCCACATAATTCACTTTTTTCCTTTTTTTCTATTTTTAATTTTTCTAATCAATCTTTGTCATGGTAAAAAGTCACTTCTTTTTTTTTTTTTTTTTTTTTTTTGACATGGAGTCTCACTCTGTCTCCAGGCTGGAGTGCAGTGGTACCATCTTGGCTCACTACAACCTCTGCCTCCCGGGTTCAAGTGATTCTTCTGCCTCAGCCTCCCAAGAGGTTGGGATTACAGGCAGAAGTTGCAGTGAACTAAGATCACACAATTGTATCCCAGCCTGGGTGACAGAGCCAGACTCTGTGTCAAAAAAAAAAAAAAGAAAGAAAGAAACGTAGTTCAGGCCACACTTGCCTAACAAGAAGCTACTACAGCTTGAGACTATTACAGAGCCTGAACTGAGCCTGAAGAGAGAAACTTGCTTCTGCTGCCACAGCAAAGAATAATCACCATAAATAAACCTTACTTATGTCCAGAAAGAGTCTGAGTGCTTTAATATCCAAAAATTAGGCACAGGAGAAACAAGGAAATAAATGAACATATAATCCCAGTCAATAGTTAACCAAGGACTGTCAAAATGCCTCTATTAAGAAACGTATGGCCTGTGTGGTTCCTGTTCTGGGATTTACTAACTACTACAATTGCGTCACGATCAGTTTCGCAGCAGCCGTGGTTGTAAATGGTAATTTTTAATACAAGGAAGTGAGTGGTTAAAGAGCTGGCAGGCCAAGGGTGTGTGGAGCATCTCAGGATGATCAGGAGCAGGCTCTAGAACCCAAAGTCAGCACCATATTGGACTCATAGTCCTGTATTAGATTCTTATTGTTTCTGTAACAGATTACCACAAATTTTGTTACTAAAGACAAATTTGTCATCTCTCAGTTCTGGAGGTCAGAAGTCTCACTGGGCTAAAATCAAGGTGTCAAAAGAGCTGTGTTCCTTCTAGAGGTGGCACCAGTAAACCAAGTTCTTACCCTATTTTTTATGGGTCACAAAGAAAGAACATGCAATTGGACAAAAGCAATCGGGTCATATTCACTGGCCAGGGAATGGAGAAGGGGAGCTTCGCTCTAAAGGCACCTTCTCCTTAAGCAATAGGCAGCAGGGGAATTTTCAAGAGTTAGATATGGGGCAGGGAGGTATGTAAGCAGGCTGAGGGTGGAGTTTCAAACATGCAGGTGCAACCCCCAGATATACTTCCTCCTACATTGCATGAACACAAAATGTCAACAATTTTCTTTTAAGGGAAAGGAATCTAGTATTATAATGATATGTTAATGATCTAAACGTAACTAGGGGTTGTTGGTTCTGGTTTGCACCTGTCTCATGCGACAGGGACAGGCTGCATGCGACAGGGACAGGCTGCATGGGACAGGGACAGGCTGCATGCGACAGGGACAGGCTGCATGGGACAGGGACAGGCTGCATGAGACAGGTGCAAACCAGAACCGGCAACCCCTAGTTACCTCTAGATCATTAACGTATCATTATAATACTAGATTCTTTTCCCTTAAAAGAAAATTGTTTTCTTCCTCTGGTGTTTGGCAAGGGATCATGAAGTTCCTGCCGCATCCTGGAAAATCTGGAGCTCTATAAGCAGTGGCACCTGTAGATAAAAAGACTAAGGGGAAAAAAGCTGTTTAAGAAAATAAGGAGCCTTCCCAGCTATTTTTCTAGGGCTGCCCTAGTAACAGAGCTTCTAGAGAAGAATCCATTCCCTTGCCTTTTCCAGATTCTGGAGGCTACCCTCATTGCATGGCTCATGGCCCCTGTCTACCTTCAAAGCCAGCAATTGCATCATTCCGACTTCTGCCTTCAACATCACATTTGCTTTTCTGACTCTAATTCTCTTGCCTTTCTCTGCTACTAACAAGGACCTCTGTGAAGACATTGTACCCACCCAGATGATACAAGCTAATCTTCCTCTCTTAAAGTCAGTTCATTAGCCACTTTAATTCCATGTGCATCTTTAATTCTTCCTGGCCATATAACCCACATAACATGTTCACAAGTTCCAGGGATTAGGCATGAGCATTTGGCAGGATGCCGGCACTGGCATTATTCTGCCTAATGCTCCACACCCCATGCAAGGCTCTCCAAGTAGATAGAAACTGTCTTTCCGGCCTTATCTTCCACCATATGCCATGTATTGGATAGCTATTGCTGCATAACAAGTTACTCTAAAACTTAGTGACCTAAAACAACACTTATTGTCACATAGTTTCTGTGGGTCAAGAATCCAGGGAGGGTTTACACGGGTCCTCTGGCTTAGGAGGGTCTTTTCCGGGGCTGCAATCAAGATGTCAGCTGGAGCTGACTTCATCTCAAAGCTCACTGGGGAAGGATTCTTTCCCCTGTGGATATTGGCTGGAGGCTACTCTTAGGGGGCCACACATGCGCTTCTCCATAAGGCAGCTCACACTTGGCAGCTGCCTTCATCAGAGCAGGAAGAGCAAGAGAGAGAAGGCAAGCAAGAGGGAAATTGGTCTTCTGCAACCACATCCCATCACCTTTGCTGCAATATATTCATTATATTAGAATGTGGCCCCAGCCAGCCCACGCTCTAGGGGGAAGGAATACACAAGGCATGAATACCAGGAGGTGAAAACATGGAGCCATGTTAGAAATTGTCCAGCACACCCCAATATGTACCCTATGCTCTCATCTCACAAAACTCACCAAGTTTCCCAAGGGGGAAAAAACTGCTTTATTATCCATGTCTTACGTTTGCTCATTAATTCACTCATTCAAAAAATATTTTATTTCTACTGTGAGTTAGGTAGTGTTCTAAGAGCTAAGGATAGAGCAGTGAGCCAAAGAGACAAAGCCCCTCCCTCATGGAGCAGACATTTCAGTAGGGAGATAAACGGTAGACAGACACACACATAGTGCGACAGAGGGCTATGAGTTATAGCAGGCCAGGGGCATGGTAAGTGTCAGTGGAGGTGAGGATGGAGGCTTTTATGTAGAATGGCCTGGGAAGGCCTCTCTAAAAGCTTACCTCTGAGCAGAGACATGAAGGATGTAAGGAAGCCACCATGAGTCTATTTAAAAGAAGAGGGTCCTGGGCTGAGGGGACATCATGTGCAAAGGTAGCTGAAGTGTTCAAGGGGCATAAGAAGTTCTGTGCGATGGGAGCAGTGTGAGCAAAGGAGATAACGCTTGGAGCTGAGGTCAGAAAGGAACCAGAAGCCAGATCTTCTAAGGCCTTATAGGTCATGAAAAGGGCTTTGTCTTGCTCCATCACCTGGGCTAGAGTACAGTGGCGCGATCTCGGCTCTGTCTCCAGGGTTCAAGCGATTCCCCTGCCTCAACCTCCCAAGTAGCTGGGACTAAAGGCACGCACAACCACGCCCAGCTAATTTTGGTTTTGGTTTTGGTTTTAGCAGAGACAGGGTTTCAGTATATGGGCCAGGCTGGTCTTGAACTCCTGATCTCGTGATCCACCAGCCTTGGCCTCCCAAAGTGCTGGGATTACAGGTGTGAGCCACTGAGCCTGCCCAGCTTTGACTTTTATGCTAAGATGGGAGCCACTGGAGAATTTCCCCTTAAAATAAACTACTTTACATGCAGAGACAAAAAAAAAAAAAGCTCTTTTCTAATTTCAAGATACCATTTTCAGTTCTTGCTTATAAAGAGGTATAATTTGTTTTCTAATATAGCTACACACCTGAAATACATATACTTAACTGATGGCACATTTTCTAATTACTTACTTTAAAAGATAATATCGGAAAGCTTTGGGTGTTTGAGACTGCTTTTATTCCCAGATAAGGAAAGAGAAATCAAACAAAACCATTTCTGGGAAACCGAGGTCCATTTCTTGCCTAAAGTCAAACAACTTCAAATAGTCTAGGCTAGAATCCAGATCCAGGTAGACATAATTAATTTCCTAAAGTCAGATGTCACCTGGCAGATCCCCGCCTGAGAGCCTAAAAGGGTATATTGTAAAGCAGGTGCCTAGGATCATAAAATGAGCCGATGCAACGAATGGCCTAAATCCCAGGGAGTGGTTACTAACAAGCAGCCCAAAGACTGTGTAATTGGGTACAATAAGGGCTAGAAGTCTTGTTGATACAGGCACGTTAGCCAGACTTCCTGATATTTGACCCAGGACTTTGGTAAAGGACATTTTCTTAACATTGCCTTCACTGCATACCCAGCACCAGGTTTCTTCTCACATGACTGTGTAACCTAGAAGTCACCTTCAAACACTTTGGAGGGTCTATAGTAGGTAAACTTAGATAAGCAAATGAAAATTTGCTTACTTGTATCAGGAAAGGAGTGATCAGCACAGGGGTAGTTAGGAGTGGCTGGGTTGGGGGAGATTATTTAACAAAGGGAAGCACATATAAGAGAAGGTAAAGAAATATTCCACTTGCAAATCACGGTACCTGTGGATGAGAGACGTGGACACAAGAGTGAGATGGCCTGGTTTGCCGTCTACCTCCTGAGCCTTCTCTGGGCTGTGGCTGGGACGAGTACCCAGACCCGGAGTTCATGCTGTGAGTATGATGTTTTT